CCCAGCCCGTCCTCCTGTCCCCGGCGCGACCCCGCCGCGCAGGGCAGCAGCTGCCGCACATCTGGCGGGGCCGCCCGCAGCCCCCTCCCCGGCGGGAAGTCCCACCTGCCGTCTACCCCTCCCCCAGCACTCACCCGCCGCTCGTACAGCGCGTTCAGGTCGTCCGCCATCCGCCGCAGCTGGGCCCCGATCTCTCGGGCCCACTGCTCCTCCTCCCCCCGGACTCCCGGGGCTGCTTGGGTGGGGCCGCCCTCCAGGGCCCCCGGGGCGCTGGGCACCGGCGACTCCAGGTGCTGCTCCGCAGGCAACAGTGAGGGAGGACCTGGGAAAAGCCGAGGGGCGTGGTCAGCACCCGCCACCCCTCTAGGCCCGGAGGTGTCCTCGAGGGACCAGTCATTCAGGGCCTGCTTTTCCCTTTTCCTGCAGCCCAATTTCTTTTCTGCTCCCCGCCTCATTTCTAGCGATTCTGTTTTCCCCTCTTAAAGCCAGATTTCTCAGCTCCTACTCCTCAGGCGCCAGAAAGCAAGAAGAGGTCCTGGGGAGGCCTTTCTGGGGTCACCTGTCTAGCCAGCTACCACCCCACTACCCGCATTCGCCTGGAGGTCCTTTCTGTTATCCGACCTAAGTACCTCTATTCCAAAACGGGGCCAAGTTTTGCCTGCTCCATTTAACAGATGGGGAAACTGAGGTCCACCGTAAGAAGTGGCCCAAGGTCACACAGGGATACAGTGACTGACTACACCCAGAGTCACAAGCCTCAGGTCTCCTGCCCTCTCGTGTCCAACCACAGTGAAGCCACACCCCCGGATGTGGCAGGGGCCTGGAGACCAGAAGGCCAGACGGTGGCTGCCTCTGAGCACGGGCCTGGGGGGCTGGGATGCGGGAGATGCCTTCCTGCCCCACCCCCTTCTGAGCTCCTCTGACGTCTTTTCCTCCCTCCTGTCACCCCAGGTCCTGGCAGGAGGCATCCCTAAGGCCCCAAATCAGGGCCTCAGTTTCCACACCTGTGACTCTGGTCTTGCAGTCGGGTCCCTTTTCAACCCCGCCGCCAGGGAACTGAGCCAGGGAAGTTTCTCTCTCCTTACCTCCTCGGGCTCCAGGGGCGGAGTGGGGGCGGGGGTGGAGAGGGAAACCAGGTCCATCTTTCCCTGCCACCGCGAGTGCCGGCTGGGATGGGGCCAGCCGGGCACCACAGGGTTAACAGCCCATCAGGCAGGGGACCTTTAACCCTTCCCTCCCCAGACTCACCCCTCCCCACTTTCCCAGCAGAACGGCCCCTCCCCCTCTCCTTCCTCCTCCCGGACTGCGGAGAGGACGGCCGCGGCCAAAGAGATGCAGATAGAGGCAAGGCCACCCTCGACCCCTCCTCGAAGTCCTAAGGTGACAGTCCCCCCCGCTCTGCCCACACTCTCTCCAACTACAATCCTCAGGGGACCCAGACTAGGGGAGGGGGGCTGGGAAACAGCTGTTGCCCCAGGCCCGGAAAAGGCCGTGGGCTGCAGCTCGGGGACTGCAGTCAGATTCCAGGAGGGACTTCCCACTCGGCCTCCCCCCGCCCCCAGCCTCCCACTCCGTCTTCCTGCTTCTTGCAACACAAAGACCACACTGGCCACACCCTCCCCGGGGCCCGGCCGGCTCGCCGCCGCCCCCCACTTCTCCAGATCCTCGGTGGCTCTGCGCTGGCTCCCATCACCGCGGGTGCGGGCCGGGCACTTACCGTCGGGGCGCGGGCCTCGGGGCCGGC